ATTTTGCTCGCGGAGAGGATCTTTAAAACAAGATTTTTAGAAGAGAGGACCTTTAAAATATAAACAGGCAAAAACGTTGGAAAAATTAAAGCGCGCGTTTAAACAGATAAACGCAATGAAATAAATACGCAATTGTTTTTACTTATCGCTGTAAGCTCACAAGCTTCTGACGTGCTATACACTTTTATATAATATATACAAGGTGTCCGGTAACTAACGGACCAATGATTAAGGGCGGATTCTCTGGCCAATTTGGAGACGATTTTTCCTTAGCAAAAATGTTGAGAAGTCAATAATTTTCGAGTTATAAGCGATTGAAAAAAATAGGTTTTTTGAAAACTAAACGTTTTGGAGTTAAAAGTCTAACATAATTACATTCTTCAGTTAATTTCAGGTAGAGTTTACTATAATAAAATTTTAATTTAAGGCTTAGTTATAAAGATACATAATGACAAAGATTGGAAAGTTGTAAAAAATGATGACCTTTTTCGACATTTTCGCTGAGGAAAAATCGTTCCCAAATTGACCAAAGAATCCATTTGTAATCATTGGTCTGTTAGTTACCGGACACCCTGTATATTGGACACGAGTTTCGTTTGTTTCAGATTCTCGAGAGTTGAAGTAGGAACATACGAGTATCATATATCGTTTGTGACTTGCCGAATGAAAGCAAGACAGAGAGCGAACGAGATGATGAGCTTAATAGCTCATAATGTTATAAATAAATAAATAAAAAATTATAACCTGACCTACTAGTTATTGAATCTTTTTTTAATAAAATGTTTCATTATTATTATCATCTAAGTCTAAGTCGTTTAATTACTTTTTAGTTTTTTAATAATTAATTTAATTTATTCTAGTCATTTTTATATGAGAAAAATAATATCACGTATACGTTTTATAATGAATTAATATATTTCGGGAACCGAATTATATATTCTTAATAATATAAAAGTGTTCAAAAATTATATTTGACTTTTAATTTTAATTATTTTATAGCAAAGAGTTCCGAAATCTCTTACACACATAATGGGGATTTTTTTCATCCATATAATTCGCAATTAAGTATATATGTTAATTATTAATTTTAATAAAATAAAAATAAAAATTAAAGGTCAAATATAATTTTTAAACACAAATATATTAAATTAATTATAAAACGTATACCCATAATAGTATTTTTCTCGTACAAAAATAATTAGAGTAAATTAAATTAATCATAAAAGATTAAAAATTAATTAAAGAATTTAAACTTATATTTTATATAATAATAATAAAACATTTTATTACGTCAAACCGTCGTGAAATAATTAAATAAAATTTGCTAGTTACGTCAAAGTCAAGTTTTCTAAGCTTATACAACATTTTATTAAAAAACAGATTCAATAAATATAAGTACATGTTATATATATACTTATATTTAAATGATAATCCTTAAGAGTCGCCAGTAATAAATAATGAAAATCTCTCCTCCAATTTTAAAGTCGACTAGACTGGCAATAATTTATTTAAAAAATTAGTTAAATTACAACGTTTCGGCTGTCATTGCAGCCCTTTTCAAGTAATCAGATTAAAACAATAAATCAAATTTACAGCAAACCCCCGACAAAATTAACCATTGTTTTGATGAACAATGTATAACTGACAGAAGTGAGCACAAAAAAAAAATAGATGTTGACTGTTAGCAGGAAACTTAGTCACTGTGACTAAGTTTCCTGCTAACAGTCGACATCTATTTTTTTTTTTCGTGCTCACTTCTGTCAGTTATACATTGTTCATCAAAACAATGGTTAATTTTGTCGGGGGTTTGCTGTAAATTTGATTTATTGTATTAATCTGATTACTTGAAAAGGGCTGCAATGACAGCCGAAACGTTGTAATTTAACTAATTTTTTAAATAAATTATTGCCAGTCTGGTCGACTTTAAATTGGAGGAGAGATTTTCAATACTTATATTTATTGAATCTGTTTTTTTTATAAATGTTTTATTATTATCATATATAATATAAATTATTTAATTATTTTTTAATTTTTTTATGAGTAATTTAATTTGTTCTAGTTATTTTTGTACGAGAAAAATACTATCACGGGTATACGTTTTATAACGAATTAAATATATTTATGTTCAAAAATTATATTTGACCTTTAATTTTAATTTTGTATTTTATTAAAATTAATAATTAACATATATACTTAATTGCGAATTATATGGATGAACAAAATCCCTATTATGTGTGTAAGAGATTTCGGAACTCTTTGCTAAAATAATTAAAATTAAAAGTCAAATATAATTTTTGAACACTTTTATATTATTAAAAATATATAATTCGACTCTCGAAATATATTAATTCATTATAAAACGTATACGTATTAGTATTTTTCACATATTAAAATAATTAGAATAAATTAAATTAATTATTAAAAAACTAAAAATTAATTAAACGACTTAGACTTAGATGATAATAATAATGAAACATTTATTAAAAAATAATTATAATAGGTCAGGTTAATATTTTATTTATTTATTTATTTATAACATCATAAAATTCTGTCCTTTCCGAAATACGCGAACGCTACGAAAAGATAAATCTCGTACATGCCGCCGGACGAGTTCATGAGCATGAGACGCTCTTATCTTGGGAACGTATTAATAGTTACTGCATTGACCACTACTACGATATGGCGCTGAAATCAGTGAGAAATGCTGGTCTCTCCTTCATCCAGACCTTTGGCGATCTGTCTATTAATCTGTGATAACACGCACAAACACACCACGAAGATGTATGACAGAGTATGTTAGCTTCCACGTGGCACATCTTTTGCATTTGCAATATCGTAAAAACGCTTTAAATCGGAAAGTTTTTTAAATAAATAATATAATTTATTATATTATTTTTTAAAAAATCTCGACATTATAGCTGTAAAAATATGATTAAAATATATATATTTGAAACGAGAATTATATTTATCAAAATATTTTTTCTATAAAATCCATAGTTTCAAAATATCAAAAGTGTTCCACCATTTTTTTCTATATTATCATAAATAATATATATAATAAATATTTTATTCTATATTAAATAAGAGATCGACAAAGCTATATTATATTTAAAAATGATTATAATATATAGGAATAAACGTTACAATATTTTTAATCAAAAGTGCAATTATATAATTATATATACAATTTAAGATGTATATTTATATTAAATTTATTTACAAATTAAAAATTATACAAGAAATTTATTACTAAGCTGATATAATATTATAATTCACCCCTATTCAAGATTCCTCGATAGTATAGTGGTTAGTATCCCCGCCTGTCACGCGGGAGACCGGGGTTCGATTCCCCGTCGGGGAGATTTTTTTCGTTTCTATTTCTTTATTTTTTGTATATTTTTTCTCATTATTATTATTATTATTATTATTATATTTATTATTTTATTATTATATTTATTATTTTATTATTATATTTATTATTTTATTATTATATTTATTATTTTATTATTATCGTTAATCACATTAGTCGCATTCAACGCGCGCGCGCGCGCAAATTCAACAATATTTTTCCAATGTCATTCGATGCTAATTGGTTGGATCCGAAAGTAGTAACCAATCACGTTTGATTACTACTTAGGGTTATTCTACAATAAGTTGCCAGTTGACATTTGCAGATTAACCAATAAGCAACTCAGCTGACAAGTTACTTTGTTTCGATTGGTCTACCGGAGCATTTGCAACCTATTGTGGAATGACCCTATGATGTTTGCAGATAGAGCTTGAACATCCGTTAAATATGTCAGAAGATGGCGGGGATAAGCGATATGCGCGCAGCGCCAACTATATTCCGTTCGGTTGAGCAAGCGTGGCTAATCAAAGCACCAAGAGGTAAGCCGCGAGGTCTGTTTATTTTTGATTTTTCGTCAGGTAGGCGTAGCTCCACGTCGGCACATTTGCAAGAGTAATGCGGTTTTTTTCGTCGTGTCTCATATCCCACACACCGTATTCGAAAAATGATGACCTAGCAGCAATTGTCGTGGAAACATGGGTGCGAACGCGCCGGACGAGTCCGTGACTTGTCGGGCATCTTGCTTGGTAAAGCCAAGAGCCGAGAATCAAGCTTCGCTGCTTCCGCACCTCGCGTAGCCGTTTGTTCCTCCTTCGCTCCGTCGAGCCCGAGCCCGCGATCACGTTCACGCCGCTCTAACCAACTGACAACGCGCGCGTTGATAGCCGTCAACGACACGACAACGAGAACGCGGTCGTTTACGGTCGTTACGCCGTGCACCAGGTACGCATCGAGTCGCGACAAACGGAATCGGTTACGGGGACGAGCAAGGAGCGGTTCTTTGTCGCCTATTTTCGTTGATACCTAGCTGTTCCGCGCAAATACTTATAACGGGACCATCTTCACGAGTTTCTTTTGCCGCAGGAAAATGAGCATTCCGAGGAAGTGTCCTGGATTTCGTGGTTTTGCGGTTTGCGCGAATGATTCTTTTGCGAGGTGAGTACTTGCGGGGGAAACACTCCTGTATTGTATGTTGTTACATCTTTTATCATGCATATATTTTAATATTCCATAAACCAAATATTTACCTTATTCCAACTTACTCTTACTACACTCATCTGTGGTAGAATTAAAAATCATTTTTTTTTCACATTAGCACTCGTTTAGATTTGGTTTCCAATTGGATAAGAATGATAAAGCAGCAAACACTTGGAGTGGAATTAAAATTATGCATGAAAGTATAATTCTGTTTATACGATCTATATTATATTTGAGATATACATATTTTTGTGAGCCATTTAATAAATAAATGATTTATAGCATAGTGCTTTTTAAAATATACAATTTGATTTTTATTTTTCTTTAAATTATGATTAAGCAACTTATACAAATTTATATTTGATATTTTTAAATACACTTTATTATTGATATATTTTTGAGTTTATATGCAACAGACATTTAAATGATATCTCTCTCTTGAATAATTTGAAACTATAGATGTTATTTATCCTATTTGTCATATATTCAGGTGGATGAAGATTATATTCAGGACAAATTTAATTTAACGGGACTGAATGAACAAGTACCACATTATCGTCAAGCATTGGATATGATTCTCGATCTTGAACCTGGTAAGTTGTTTCGAGATAGTATCAAATAAAATTACTCATTCTTGAATTATTAAGTAAATAAACTGAAATATAAAGATAAATAAATTAAAAAATTTTTAAATATAACTTATTTGTAATACTCTTGTATTTGATGTTTATTTGATCAGATGATGATTTGGATGATAACCCGAATCAATCAGATTTGGTCGAGCAAGCAGCAGAGATGCTCTATGGTCTTATTCACGCTCGCTACATACTTACCAATCGTGGCATCGCTCAGATGATTGAAAAATATCAAGCGGGTGATTTCGGTCATTGCCCGCGAGTTTACTGTGAATCCCAACCAATGTTGCCGTTAGGCCTTAGCGATGTTCCTGGCGAGGCAATGGTCAAAAGCTATTGTCCCAAATGCATGGATGTTTACACGCCCAAGAGTTCGAGACATCATCATACCGATGGAGCTTACTTTGGAACAGGATTTCCACACATGCTGTTTATGGTTCATCCCGAATATAGACCGAAACGTGCAGCAAATCAATTTGTACCTAGGTAAATAAACATTATTCTATGGCTGCTTAAGCAATGGCTATTTAAGCAATAAAATAATCATATGGTAAAAACTCAAAATATCTAGCTATAAAAATTTAAAGTACATTTGTTATTTTATTATTTTTTTTCTTTTTTATGATAAAATTTTGGAAAAAATAGAAATAGAAGAAATTGTTTTAAGATGGATAAATTAATTCCACTGAAGAAATCTTACTAAAACACAATTTTTGTATATAATTATATATGCACTTTGTCAAATTTTAACATTTTGTATTCATTCTATTAGAGTCTACAGTAATCAAAATTATATCAGTTTTTTCAACACATTTTCTAATGATTCTCTCATAATATAGTAACATTGTCATTGTATACATATAAAACAAATATGAATTTAACAGCATTGATCTTTATTCTTGTATTTACTTCTATAAATTACATATGTGTAATATTATTAGAGATAGATTTTAATATGAATATCTGAGAAGATTAAATGATATTTAATAATGAGATAAAATCAAGTTTTATTATATATGTTACTATACATTTTAAATTAGTGACTCAGTCAAGTTAAGTTTACTCATTCATGTTAAACATTTATTAATTGTGGCATTGCCACATCCTCAGATAATCGAAAAGTTTCTAATAGACATTTCCGAGTCATTTTTTATATGTGTAGAGCTATACGAAATCCGAAAGTTAAAAGATAAATTTTATTTTTCAGATTATACGGCTTTAAAATTCATCCTCTAGCATATCAGATCCAGCAACAGTCTGCGTCCACGTTCAAAGCACCATTACGGGCTCTTAACTACAATAATGGAAAACGTTAAGGTCATTTTGGAATAGCCTAGAATACTTTTTTTTTCATTACTCACAATTTTTAATTTCGTCCTGAAGATTCAAATAAAATATTTTTTATATCTCTGTTTCTCCCATGCAATATGTTTCTACGCAAAAAGGACATTTTTTTACGAAACCGTTCTTTTCAATCGACACATTGTCTCGTCGCTCTTATGTTTTCTTACGAGTACGTTTCTTACGATCATGTGAAGAGAGAGAGACAGGAAGAAAAATAGAGAAAGAAAAATTTAGATTTGTTGTGTATCATTATCATATAATTTAAATTGTAGCAACATTATTGTTTTCACAATCGTTTATGTAAAGAACCAATATGTTTTTGTATAGAAATTTTGAACATTCTTCACATTAAAGATAAAGAGAAAAGAATAAGAAGAACGTATAGAATATTTAATTGCGTTAGATCGTAAATAAAGAACTAAATGATTATAAAGTAGAAACATCCGTTTTGTACAAGAGTTTGCATCACCATATTTGCTGCCAAGTAGTTCCTAAAAATGTGCAGGAACAGACTTCCTAAAAAAAGAGAAGAGAGTAGAGAGAAAATACCGGGTTTCACATTGGTTCTTTTCGAAACGAGAAGTAATGTATAAATGAAAATATAGCTATTAAGTTAATTTAATTTAATCGCCGAGTAAATTTGTGCAACAAATTGTGACAGAAACAATTTATTGATGTATGAAATTTCATATAGATAATATATATATATATTATTTACTTGGATGCTAAAAAATTATTGAACTCAGAACACAATAATTTCAACGAAATTATTGTTCGACGAATCGTACAGCGTTTTGCGAAAAACAAAAAGACGATTATCTTAGTTTCTATCACAGTTTTCAAAATGTCCTTATTGATATTTAGCATTAATGGGACGAAAATTTTATGCGATTATAAAATAAAAATTTGTGTACAATTTTTAACGTAGAGCAACAAAGCTGCTAGTAACATTTTCTTGTATCTCGTTATAATTGTTCGCAAAGTAAAGTTTTGAGTCAAATGGAGTTTGTATCCAAATTGATTGATTCGTACTAGGAAAACTGTTGTATTTTCACTTCAAATTAAAGTACGACTTATTTACACGTATTGTGTTTTTGATATCCATAATTGAATTTCAATTAAGAAGATTTGTTTTTAAATGTAAATTAATTATCTTGTATTGCTGTATACATTTAATATAATTGCATTTTATTTCTATTTTTAAAATTAATATTATTAATTTACATGCATTATACTTTACAAATCCATATAATCATCAATTATAAAAAAATGTTCTAGAGTTTAGAGTTAGCTCATTATCTACTATATAATGGCAGAGAGAGAGATTCTTGAAATTATTTCGAAACAAAAATTTTAACATCAAATATATTGAAACTATGAAGCCTCTTGCACAATGCCAGGAAATAGGCAATAGGAATAAGAATTATAAAATATCTCCCAATAGGAGCAGAGAATAATATCTATCTTCTTTCCGATTGGTTGATATTTTTTATTTCTTATTCCTATTGCCTGTCGTCTGGCATTGTGCAAGGGGCTTAAAGCTTAAATCACCTATTGTGGATCCGGTCTAAATTACATTCGTTCTGCGTTGCGCTATCCGCTTCATGAAATTGCTCCGACCAATGAGCGTGATCTTTGCAAATTCAAATGCCATGATGTAAGATGAAAACCGGTAGAGCTAGCTGAAGTTTTCATGTCAAGTTATGTTTATAAGTTTTGAAAGTAATGTGATACATCTATGCATAGATATACGGAGTGTTATGTCATATAAGGACAAGTAACTGTTGTACACAAATATAAATTTTTAATCTTCGCGTAAGGGTCTCGTAATATATGCGTGCATAGCATACATTCTATTGACGATTCTTCTTGTCAAACCGATCTGCAGCCTACAGCCAGGCTGTTTAATTTGACAGGTGTGTGTATATTTGTATACTCGGGAATATTTTGAGTACCTACGATGAAAGCATCCTTGTGGTTTTATCGCTAAATTAGGAATCTGACGTCGATTATGTCAATAATTTTTGGACACAACTTGGAGAAAATTCGAAACGATCAAAGGCTTCTTCAGATAATTACTTGCTTTGAAAGTTTACGAGTAAGGATAGAGGATAGTAACAAAAAATTAACGTTTCTTTATATATCTGCTTTTATTATTTACTATCTTATTTATTTTATCAATTTAATAATATATATGTATTTTGAAAAAAATATAATGTACAAACCATTAATGAAAGATTTTTATATAGATTTGAAAAATAAGCATTTTAATAGCATCATGCAGAAAATAGGAGTAATATTAATTTATATATATGTGTAGTGTGTATAATTTGTGTTATATTTATGTAAAGATTGGAACAATCGTGTCTTTATAATCTACAGATAAATTAATAATTGGAAGATTATGTACTGATTGTTGTAACTTCTTTTTATTTTTTTATATTTGTGTTTTTAGAATAGCTACAGCTAATAGAATATTCATATTTTGGATACGATTAAAACAAAATATTTTTTTTATTTTCAGATCAGTATTTGTTCTCTGAAAACTGTCGATAATGTCAAATCTTATGGCAAACAATAATCACAGTTTTGGTAGCACAAACGCTGACAAAGTGCCATCACAGAATACTACATTACCAAAATCTCAGCCAGTACGCCTCTTGCATTTGTGTGAGAGCGACGATGATGATGATGATGACGAAAGCGAAGAGAAACCCATGAATCTGAAGATTTATCAGATTTGGATGAGTCAGGTAATTCTGCTGAGGATGTACTGCCGGATTCGTGTATACATGAAGCAGCAGACATTAATTCTATGATTGGCTCAACTCTAGACAAACCCTTGAAAACTATATTATCAAAAGATATTAGTGCATCTGTGACTGATATTTCACCTGTACAAGAAATAAGCTGTGCTAACAGTAACACAAAATGCAAAAATGATGTAAATTCTGAAAGTCATCTACTAGGTGATAATTCAAATAAATTAAGAACATATGACTCGAAACAGGAGGAAAAATCACAGGATTCTCATAACTGTACGTTAACTTCCTCAAGGAGCCAATCTAGCATTACTCAGAACTTGTCAACAGAACTGAGTTACTTCTTCCACCATCTTACAAAGAAATCCCCATTACAGTGCAAAATCTGATAAAAGTAAGAATCTGCAATTGATAATGAATAGTGCTCAGTCGCATCACGAAAATGTTTACATATCTGATATGTCGAATAAGAAAAAGGAGGAACACTCTTATAACACATTGATTGATAATAAACTGCTGCACAGGAATAACGAGCATTTGAATTTAAGTAAGGAGGACCAGCGGTACAAAAAAATGCTATATGATTTTAACAACCAACATGCGAATAAGAATTGTGACAAGAGCTTCGCAAGATCCCAATTGTTGTATCAGAATCTGCTGACTGTATACCTCAAAACTTGTCTGGGAACTTGTTAAATCCTGTAATATATAACAACTTGCAATACAGCATATCCAAGCACGAAGCGAACGAAAAGTGTACACCGGCGAAAAACCCTGCACTGTGCACACATGTGAAATCAAGTACACCATCGTTGAATGAAATTCAGGGAACATCGTTACCTACTCCGATTAATCGTTTGGTTTTGGAGACTCCATTGAAACATTCGCAAGTCGGTTCAATGCATCCGAATCCATGCGCATCTCATAAACAGCTATTTCGAACTCCGCAGAATAAATTGTCCGACAATTCAAGCAAAAATTGCATTCAGACGCCTTCCACGATATTGTCCAGTTGGTGCTACAATAATACAAGACATACACCATTGGAGGGAAAGAATCTCGTTGCAAAAGATCACATGCAAATATCTAGAAATACGATCTGTACGCCTGTCGTAGAGAATTCGGACTTGGCGAGGTTTGTAGAATCATTTTTACAACCATGCGTTTCGAAAGAAACCATATTTAACTTAATATTGTTTGTTGTTCCCGATAAAAAGCATATCTAATTCATATACCAAAATAAATGTAATAAAAAAATTAATCTTTCGTCAATTAATTTGGAATTCTAATTTTGATGAATTCATGATTCTTTCGCTTAGTTTAAATGCAGAGTACCGATGGTAATTGATTTCTCTTTTCTTCAGATTGGAATGTCACGAA